GAGAGGCCGTGAAATGTCCCCCGGAGTGGATGCTGAGATTTGTTCGCATCGTTTCCGTGTAGCTCTTAGCGGCAGAAACAGAGATTGAAGCCGGCCCTTGTGGAAGCTGATAGGAATCTGCTTTAATGCTTGTTTCACGCAAGGTGGAAGGGCTTAAAAAAAGGAAACATCGTTTCCAAAAACAGCTCCTTCTCCCCTCTTCCCCCAAGGAGACAACTTGCAGGGATCCAGTGCTGATTCAGGGGTGCGGGGTGAGTCAATGACCGAGCTGTCAGTGCGTAACTCACCCTTATCAGCTGCAGCTTCAAGAGCCACGGTTAACGTAACAGAAATGACACGGGCAGATTTCAGCCCTGCCCTCCCTCCACACCCCCCCTTCCTCTCCCTTCAGGAGAACATAAGCTACCCTTATTTTTATGGAGCCTTTTAAATAGGTGTTATTTTATCTGTCCTGAGATACAAAAATCCATTTATTTTTTCATTTTAATAATTACTATGCTATCATATATAGCAGTTTGTTTTTTTTTTTAATAAACATGTCAATTGCTGCATTCTCCTGAAATCATATAGCTCACTTTATTAGAAATATTAGTTGCTAATTACAACTTTTAATTTAGTCTGATTTGATGCCTTAAATGTTGAAAAGGAATCTGAGTCTCTATCCAGTGATCACAGAATCGCTCGGTTGGAAAAGCCCTCTGAGATCATCACGTCCAACCGTTCCTGTCTACCCCCTAAACCATATCCCTAAGTACCTCGTCTACCCGCTCTTTAAACACATCCAGGGATGGTGACTCCACCACCTCCCTGGGCAGCCTGTTCCAGCTAAACATGTAGCTCTCAGTGTTTCATCAGACTGAGGGACTGGCAAACATTCTTAAATTTCAGGTGGGGGAGGGCCAAGGAGTAAATAGAGCATTTTCCTGCCTAAATTAGACAATCATATGTGATACGAGTGTCCTATTAATAGGAATCATTAAACAAGTGGAGATGGCCTCATTACAGCAACATTACCATAAATCATCCTATTTCCACTGTATCAGAAGGAGTGGGGCCTCTGTTTAACAGACCTCATATGCCCAGGCTTAAATCCATTTTTGCTCACAGTTTTTACCTACGATTGCAGTGACATCGTAACTGTGTGTGTCACTGATAGTCACAGCGTATTTGTCTTTGTTATATGTAAAATCCGTGCACTTACACTGGAAGCCTGTGTTTGCATAGCCGTGACATAATTTCTAAGACAAAAGTCTGATGCTGCTGTAGAACTGTGTCCCTTATGATATTTTTATATCATCGGTTCAGTAGCAGAGGTTTTTGCACTTAAATTACCCCCAAGAACTATTTCTGCAGACGTTGTAAGTTTTAGAATAAAGCATCTCTTCTGTTTTCTTTTTTCCTAATCTAAAATGGTATCTTTCATATTTTTTTTTGCTCTGGTCATGACTTTCCCTCTATGGTTCCCAAAACAAACAGCCGGCTGAGCTGGGATTGCCCTTATTTGTTCAGCCGGTTTTGACCAGCAGCTCTCAAAAAATGTGGATAGGAAAAGGAAATACCAAACATGCATTGGATTTGCAGTCGCACAATTTGAAGGGTTCAATTATATTGCTTAAAATGCTAGGCCTATATAAAACCATTTGTTCTGTTCCTGCAATCCATAATTTTTTAAGGCCAGAAGAGACCATTAGGACCAAGTGACTTCCAGCAGAGTAAAGATCAAAGACCCGATGTTATCTGCATCCAGTCTGCATCTCCTCCTCAGGCCAAACGATCTGTTTCAGAAAAATAGGCTGTTTTATCCGGACCTTTTGTAAAACCACTGACGCTACTTATTGGCTTTAGCTGGTCTACTCGCCAGAGTGTACGATTTTCAACTATCTTGAAACAATATTGGAGAACGCTTCAGAACAATTATCTGACTGTGAAGCCTGTGCTGGGCGGGTGCAGGATGATTATGGCTGTGGTTGGAGATAAGCGTCCTCGGAGAATCGGGAAGGCCAAACCAGGCAGCTCCACAGAGTCTCAGCTGCGTTGACATAATGGGAACACTTTGCCCATTGTGAAACGTTTGTTTTTTTTCAGATGTGTTCTGGACACAAGCATCTTTCCATCTGCCGTAATAACCTTCTGTCCTGTGTTTTCTTGGCTTTTGAATGCATCATTTGGCAGGTTTCCATGGGTAAAAGCAGGGGGAAATGTCTTTTTTCCTCAGTGGGTCTGTGTTGTACTTTCTCACAAACTTGCTTCTGAGCTGCTGCTAGAGCTGGTATGGACAAAATTGTCAGGAGTGGTGGCCAGCGCTTGTCCCCTGGCTGGGTGAGACAGGTCGAGCAGAGATTTCAGGTGCAAACATGATTCTGGCACAGCCTGGGGGGGCTGGTGGTTTTGAAAGACAACTCTTGAAAAGCTAATCCACCAGAAATCAGTCTCTGCCTTAGGCAGAAGTTGCTCCTCTGACCCTGTGCCAGGGACTGATCTCAAAGTTAAAGACATCTGCTCTCTTGCTGTGACAGCTCTTCGTAGCCCATGAGCTTTCTTGCAGCTCCAGAGCAATCACCTGCCGTGTGGGATGTGAAGCTCAGCCCCCATGTGACATTGAAAAGCTTAAGATCTCCTCCACCAGCTCATTAAAGCGTGTGAGCTTCTGCATTTATTTCAAAACGTCCGAGTCAGACATTGCCCCCTTAGCTAACAGCAGCTGGATCATCTTGGGTTTCAGTGTGGGCAAGCACACAACACAGGGAAGCACTGGATCCTATTAGACAGAGTAATTTTTCATTCTGGTGCCAGGGGTCTCCGGAGTGAATTTATCCTGATCTTTAAATGGTGAACGTGTTCATACACCACCCACCTTCCTTTACCACCTGCCAGCTCTGAAGCAGAGTTCGTTGGCCTGCACCAGAGATGCGAGCTTCATGGATGAATTCCTCAAGTGACGTTACTCGTAAGCACAGAGGTTTGCCGTGGCAGCGCTCTCACGCGGGGCTCTAACCACCAGCTGTCTGCAGTTCATCAGGTGGCAGAGCGTGTGGAGGCGCTGGGCCAGTTTGTGATGAAGACCAGGAGGACCCTGAAGGGCCATGGAAATAAAGTTCTCTGCATGGACTGGTGCAAAGACAAGAGAAGAATCGTCAGCTCTTCCCAGGTACGCTCTTGGGCAGATGGTTTTCAAAGCTACCCAAATCTTTTGGCTGTGCTATGTGCAGCTCTTTGCAGGTGGTACCTGTGTGTATGTTTTCAATATGGTCAGTGACAGTGTATTTGTTCAGAGAGCACAAATCCAAGCTTCTGACCATTGCTCTACCTGTTGCAGCTAATACCCTTAATATTTCTCGTCCAGTCATACACAGATTTTCCCCGTATTTCCCCCATAGAAAATAGAGAGAACTCATCTCAGGTCACTTTATTTCCTTGTTCTTTACAGATAAAATCTTTAGTAATGATTTCAGTTTATGCGTTCAGAGAAAATAATCAGGAAAAGGGAAGGGAAGGAACGGTGGTTCTTCTAGAGATTTCTGTGCAGAGAAATTTCTTCTGCAGTCTGTATGATTGGGGCCACCTCCAACAGCCCGCCACAATGACTGCATTCACTGGGCCATTTTGAGAAGCAGTCCTAGCACCTGCTCAAGACCAGGCTCATGAGCTGGAGGAGGTCAAGAGGTAATTACTTCCTAGATCCCCTGATTCGTCCTGAGCCCGGTATGGCAGTGAGTGAGGTTGTTGCACCTCACAGCTGTTCATTGACCTGTATGAAATCCGTCAGGGGGTCTCGCTTGAGGGATAAAAATAGGCAATCTGCATTGCAAGCCACCTTCAGTTACTGTGAGCTTTTACCATTCATGGTGATCTCAGCAAAGAGAATCGTTTTAAATAATTAATGTCACGGTTTTTTAAGGTGGTTAAAACGTCAGTGTGTAGATCAGAACCCCGAACAGGGAAGTTAGAAAGCATTTCCACATTTTTCACTCTATTTTAAGAACTGTAGCGAGCCCAGGCACAGCAACGATTGTTGCTCAGCAATAAACATTTTGCTTTTGTGTACAGGGAGGATAACAATATTATGTTCATAAGGCAAAATAGCTGGAAGGAGCGTAGCTGGCATACACAAAGTGAATGTGATAGTCTCTGTGGAGTGTTCTTACCGTGGCTATTTAGCAGATTGTATCAGTGGATAACTGAAGGTTTAGTAAGTGTAGTGAGAAGTAACAGGAAAACTGGGGAAAGACAGGACAGGGAAGATGAATAAACAGTGCAATGTTCATAAACAGTGAGTGCTACCTGCTGGACAAGTGGTCTGTAATACAGATCACCTCGTGTTTGCAAAGTGCCACACCGAGCCACCGCGGGTACCGCTTGGGAGAGGTGTCTGGCTTGGCGGGTGGTGATGACAGGCTGGGAGGAACACGTCGTGGCTGAAAGGAGGCAAGTGGCAGTTTCCTGAGGAGATGGTCCTGTCCACGGCATGTGCTGCAAGTGAGAGGTGTTCTCAGAAACCCGCTAAAGGGGAAAGGAAAAACGTTTAAAAATAAATTGGTCTCTTAAGCTGACATCGGTCATCTCAGCGAGGAGGGCATGCGCTTTTCTTCAGCACAAAGACGTAACTGGCACTACTGAGGAGTGTCTCCTCAGTGCTCCTCTCCTGTGACCGTTGTGCTGTTGTTAAAATGAAGAGAAAAATTTCATGACGTGACAGACTGAAGGCCTCAGTTTCTCTCTCTGTGTCCTTTCATTTAGGATGGGAAGGTGATCGTGTGGGATTCCTTCACTACCAACAAGGTCAGTGAAACTTCAGCAGAAGTCAGATCTCTACGCAGAGGGCAAATGATCATGGGATCAAGTGGAGGGCTCACAGGAGGCAGCAGGGTGATGGGGTAACAGGCAAACCTCCAGCAGCACCTCACACCAAGGGGCCCAGGGCAAGCCGCCTCCCTTGCCCTGTGTCTGAGCAAAGTCCCTGTTCAGGGCGCTGGGGTTTGTCATGGTCTCCAGCAGGAGGCTCTGATCCAGCCCTCCCTGGGTAACCCCTGTACCAGGTGCCGTGTGTGGTCACCTGGGATCCTTCAGCCATGGTGGTCACTGTGAAACAGTGCTGCTGCTCCTCCAAGTCCCACTGGGACTGCCTCACAACACCCTGGTCCACACTCCTGAGAAAAACCAGCTTGTTTGTAACTCACTTGTACACGGGCAGCAGCGGGGTCCTTTTACAGCGCTGAGTAACCCAAATAAAACACACTGTGATCAGTTTGGGGCTCATGAATATGGGGAAAAGTGCCAGGGAGGGAGTAGCCATCCTGCTGCTGCTCTGCTGGGTTCTGCAGTGAGGGTTGTCCAGGCCTTACATGTGAGTTGTAGCGGGGGGAAACCTGTACCTAAGGATGTCCCACAGAAACACTGAACTTCTCTACACTGTTTTCCTTGCACCAGTTAGAGAAACGGTGACATCCCAGTTTAAAGAGGTCCTGTGTTTCAGGAGCATGCAGTGACGATGCCGTGTACCTGGGTGATGGCGTGTGCGTATGCCCCATCTGGATGTGCCATTGCTTGTGGGTAAGTTCCTCGTTTCCACAGCTGCTTACACAGAAAAGCTTTAGTGGTGTCCCTGTGCCTTCAGATGCTGACAGCTACAAATCTGATTGTGGGTGGAAGCACTACATTCAGTGCCTCTGATTCTACTCCCATAATGGCTCATACACGTTATCTCCACTGACTTCAGTGCAATAACATTTGTTGTGTAAGCAAGCATGGGAAAAAATCCTCTTTCAGCATTCATATCATGGGCCAGGAATTCTGCATGCATGCAACTTCCCTGTTCCACTTTGGTTGTGTGTGCTGGATATATCTTCTAAGGGAGAGTGGTTTTAACCCTGCTCTTACTTTGCCCTCTTTCCTCTATGACATAGAGAGGGTTAGTCATTAGTGATCACCAGCACAGCAATAGATGGGGTGTGGGGAAGTAACCCCATCCTTGATCATCTCCTCCCAGTTTTCTGAGGGCTCAGGTTTGAAAAAAAATGGGTTTATGCAGGGGAGAAAACGAAGAGATGAGGTGTTGGCAAAACATCTTTACAAAAGGGCCCGAGTGGATCAGGCAGACAAAGCAAGCTTGGGGCACGAAAGGATCAGACTTTACTGGGCAGCTTGCAAATCTAGAAAGCAGCAGCCTGAGGTGGGCAGGCAGACTCCGTAAATGTACGTAGAAAGGGAGTCTGGAAAGTGTGTGTATTTGACTGAAACTCAAAGAATGACAAGAAAGCTCTGTCTTTACACTTGCGAGAGAGACAGGGAGGGCATATATGGCTTGCACTGCCTACTTTGTGTTTCTGGTGTGCTGTCAGTTAAGTGCTGTGCACGTAATATAAGGCACAGAACCAGCACCTGGTGGGTGGTGTGCCGGGATCCCAGGGACCAGGGCAGGGCTGATCCAGCATGGCTCTAGAAAAGGGGTGGACACGAGCCAGACCCTTTAGAAAAGAGCCCTACATTTGGCCTGGGAGACACAGCTTAACTGGTGCAACTGCCCAGGAGGGACACACCAGCTACAGAGGTCAGTGCTTCTCTTGCTTTTTTCCCAAACTCCTCTAAAAGCCCTCTCTTCACACCTGCTACTTACTGTACCACCTCTTCCATACGAGTTAGGTCCAATTTAATAAGGTAGATAAATAATGACACTTAAATACCAGTCCTCAACAGAAAAATGGCACTTTGGCTGTGTGTGAATCATTAACCCTGAGGTGACTGCCGTGTCACCTCCCGGTTTATGCTTTCGTGAGGTTTCATTTGGTGCCATTTATAAACTCAATGAGGGTAAAAAATACTGAGGTGCAGCTGTTCAAGTTCTGTAAAGCAGCCAGGCTGGGGAGGCAGCTGGGGCTTCCCTGCACTGGGAGATCCCGGGCAGCACAATACAGGGAAGTCGGCACTTGTAAGGGTTTGGCAGCACAGCACTGACAGGTGGTTTCCTTCTTATCACCACTCGCCTCTTGTCGCTGCAGTTTTAACCAGTTCTCCTCTCTCTGTTATTGCTATTATTACCCTTTAGTGGCCTGGACAACAAGTGTTCTGTGTACCCTCTGACATTTGACAAAAATGAGAACATGGCTGCAAAGAAGAAATCGGTTGCGATGCACACAAACTACTTGTCTGCCTGCAGCTTCACTAACTCAGACATGCAGGTAAATGCGTTCCCTACCCGCTGCTCACCGTCCAGCAACACCTAACACGAGTGCAAGTAACCTTCCTTGCACCCAGGGCCATGTTCTGCCCCATGCAGGGGCTGCTGGTAACCCTCTCTGGGGGCAAGGAAGGTGCTGCAGAATCACAGAATCACAGAATCACAGAACGTTAGGGATTGGAAGGGACCTCCAAAGCTCATCCAGTCCAATCCCCCTGCCGGAGCAGGAACGCCTAGATGAGGTTGCACAGGAAGGCGTCCAGGCGGGTTTTGAATGTCTCCAGAGAAGGAGACTCCACAACCTCTCTGGGCAGCCTGGGCCAGGGCTCTGTCACCCTCACTGAGAAGAAGTTTCTTCTCCAATTGAAGTGGAACCTCCTGTGTTCCAGCTTGTGCCCATTACCCCTTGTCCTATCATTGTTTGTCACCGAGAAGAGCCTGGCTCCATCCTCGTGACACTCACCCTTTATATATTTATAAACATGAATGAGGTCTCCCCTCAGTCTCCTCTTCTGCAAACTAAAGAGCCCCAGCTCCCTCAGCCGCTCCTCATAAGGGAGATGCTCCACTCCCTTGATCATCTTTGTAGCCCTACGCTGGACTCTCTCCAGCAGTTCCCTGTCCTTCAGAAGCTGCTGTAAGGAAATGCTTGTCACAGCCCGTGGCCAGGCTGTCGTGCCTGCGCCCTGCAAAGGCTTATTGCTTCTGCAGAGGGAGCTTGCTGGTACCTGTGTGTTCCCTGGTCTCTGAGTCTACGCTGGCTTCTGCTTTTAGGAGTTCAAACTAATACAAATAGTTAAAAACCCAGTTCAGCCAGGGCTAGGTTGGGTATGGGCTCTGCCAGCAGATGGAGACTGTGTTGTTGGCCTGCTTTGTCCTGGGTGTCCATTCAACTGCTTTTGATTTCATTCTTGGTAGTTTTTGCTTGTACCAAGTGAGATATTTGAGCTTGAGGATGGCCCCATGAGGCCAGCCCTGTTGTCTGTACATGCAGTGGTGCACTCCCTAGAGGGAAAGGAGCGATGCTGTCCCCATCTCGCAGCTCGGCGGTTGGAGCACAGTGGGAGACGATGGCAAAGTCAGGAACTAATGCAGATCTGAATCCAGGCCAGCCTTCCTCTGTAGTGAATATCTCAAAGAGCTCTTTCTCCAGGAACATGAAAGATGATGAAAGGAGCCAGGATAATCCCCTTGTCCTCTCTGGTTTTTTTTTTAATTTAATTGAAGCTCTGCTCAGTGCCGCTCTGCAGCAAGATAAGTGGCAGAAGGGAGCATTTTCATTGCTCTGTGTGTCAGGAGAGCTGCTGAAAGGGAATACCTTGTCCCCTTCTTCCACGTATCTGGAGCTCTCATTGCTTCTGTTTCAGGACACGAGATGCCCAAGAGTATGTTGTTGTTTGTCATTCTATGGTTTCTGTAGTGACTCTGAGGTGCTAATTTAAGTCCATTGCCATGGAAACGAGTGGTGGAGGTACCAAGCGCTCAGGCTTGCTTAGCCCTGACCTTACTGTGCAGGAGCCCTGAGTAATTGGAGCAGTCTAAGTTAAATGGAATGGTTTTTATGCGATAAAAACCCAGTATTCTCTTTTCTTGTCCATACCTATATGCGTTGCGATTAAATCCTAGGAAAGGAAAAAAAGTTACTTGTTTTTTATAATGAAAAAGAAAGAAAAATTTGGTCTTTTTTCTCCGTGTTAAATACAGCAAACTGCATTGATATTGGAGGTAATGTATTACTGTGGTTAAAAAATACCACAGGGGATTTAGATGCTTCACGTTCAGTGATTCAGAGATTTTTTTTCTGAAGACTTTAAAAAGAAATTTTGCTGTGATTGATAGGCTTACAAGTGATCATCTACAGCACTGCATGTTACTGTTGAAACAAATACAAGCAAGTGGGTTGGCCAGGCTTCTGTTCAGACACTGTTATGTAGGGGATCTTAGAGAATCCCAGATTCCTTATCTTTTTTACATAATAGCCTCAGAATTACAATTACTCGGTAACTCTGCTGCTGCTCTGCCTCGGCTGCTCTCTTGAACTGCGGCTTGTTTTTCCCTCAGGAATGAAGGACAGGGTGGGAGTTTAGGTTGCTGTGGCCATGGGCATCTGGCAGTGCAGTGGAAAGAGAGGGGACCTGGGGGCGGTTCATCGTTGACTAAAGCCACTCTCAGGCTGTGTGGATGCTGAAAGGTCTGAGGGGAGACCTCATCACCACCTACAACTGCCTCAAGGGAGCTTGGAGAGAGGTGGGTGCTGGTCTCTTCTCCCAGGTGATGGGGGATAGAACAAGGGGAAACGGCACCAAGCTGTGCCAAGGGAGGTTCAGGTTAGAGATAAGGAGGAAGTTCTTTACTGAGAGGGTCGTCAGAAGCTGGAACAGGCTGCCCAGGGAGGTGGTGGAGTCACCATCCCTGGATGTGTTTAAAGAGCGGGTAGACGAGGTACTTAGGGATATGGTTTAGGGGGTAGACAGGAGCGGTTGGACGTGATGATCTCAGAGGCCTTTTCCAACCGAGCGATTCTGTGATTCTGTGAAAGAGGGGGTCCCATCACGTCCCCACCCTGGGCCAAGACGAGCGCTGAGCTGCGGGGCTGGGTGACCCACGCACCTCGTCCTCGGTGCCCAGATCGATCTTGCCAGAGAGAGCCTCCTCCGCCTTGGTAGGCAGAGAGCTGTGGAGCCTCGCTTCCTAAATTAGGTATCTGCAGCTCGGCGGTGTGATAACGCTGCCCTCGTGACAGCGCTCCATGTGTATTAATAGCAGCAGTTAATTGAGATCTCAAGTGTTTTGCACGGGGCAGGCAGCCACACTCCCAGTCCAGCGGGGCTGGGAAGCGGGATGAGGCCCATGGTGATGGTGGAGGAGGCAGAGGTGAGGGTGGCTCTGCCCTCGCTGCTGCTCCCAGCCCCTGGTGCTGTGCTCCTGGTGAGCGGGGGCTGTGTCCCTGCTGTCCCCTCCTGTGTGCAAGTGCTGCCTCTTGCCGCCAGGCGCCAGGCAAGGATCCCCATCAGCAGCAAGCCCGAGTCTAATAGCAAAGGTTTCTGATTCCCTTCTTCTCCTCTAGTTCTGGAATTCCTGGGGTTTGTGTTTGTGGGGTTTTTTAATGGCAATGCCCTGAACTTGAGTCCATAACATTTCTCTTTAAGCAGTAGCTGGAGCCCTGGGTTGCCAGCAGACTCTTCCCTTGCGCCTTTAGCTACTCCTGGTCCCCTCGTATCTTTCTTACACGTTATTACAAGAACAAATCCTCAGAGCTGAAAGGCTTCATTCCTCATCCGAGTACAAGTGTTCCTCAGAACAGAGAAGTTCATTGATCTAGGCTCAAATGCTGGCCAGAAAGACAAGTTAGGACTTCTGCTATTATCATCTCAGAGCATTAACGTCTCCAGTGCGGGATTCGGAACAGTCTGTTCTGCAGCTTTGCAGACCTCTGTTTATGGGAGGAGTTCCTGGAGCATCTGTCAAACATGTTCAGCGTTTAACCTTTATGCAACTCTGTGAATGGTTTCGTGATCATTTTCTTCTTGAGTATTTTCTTTTTAACTTCTAACTGCCCACTGGGATTCTTTTAAGTTTCTGCACTGACCGTGAGAAAAACCTGTGTACGAGATTGAGAGTCCCTCCTAAGTTCACCCTTGCCAACTTCCACGCCAGTGCACGGGGACCCTTTCAACCTGCAAAATTTGTGATTGCATAACGGCTTTGGGGTGCCAAGGGGAAATTTGGAACAATTGAGCATCGTCAGGATTTAGCCACAATAACAAGCGCTGATCACATGTGCTTTCTGCAAGCACTGTAGCAGATGAGGGAAGCTGTGAGCTATGTTCGGTCAATGTATTCTCAAGCCTTTTCACACACAAATGGCTTTGGACAAGTGAGAGGTGATGTACTTATCAAACAGCTGTCTAGACAGGCTTACTTCCCTTTCAGAAAATCCATGTCTTAAGCCCAATTAACTTGGTTTAACCTGCTATTTCAAGTAGAAAAAAAAAATTAGAGAACTAAACTCAACTTCAACAATTCCTCTCTTTACCCGGGTTGAATTCCAGCTGCCTAAATTTGGATAGGGGGGGCAGATACAGGGCAGACAGGGGTACCAGTCTGGTTCTACCTCCTTCTTGGAGGATATGGGCCCCTACTGCCATCAGTTCTCCAAACCCCACTGTACAAAACTGACCACTATTGAAACACAGTGTAGGTAGAGCAGTGGCAATACAGCTCTCCTTTGCACTCAGACATCTTTCCTTAACAAAACCCAAAACATAAACTGTACTTAGAGTCGTATTATTTTTATGGCTTTGATGTACTGCATAATACTTCATTAAATTAAAGCTGTCCTTGGTGTAGGTATAGGGTGTTAGTTGTTTCTTTGTGAACTTGAAGATCATCTGCTGATTTTTGTATTGTGACTTTTCTTGCCACATCCTGTAGATCCTGACGGCCAGCGGAGATGGGACTTGTGCTCTGTGGGATGTTGAGAGCGGGCAGCTGCTACAGAGTTTCCATGGTCATGGAGCTGATGTCCTGTGCCTGGACCTGGCACCTTCTGAAACGGGAAATACGTTTGTCTCTGGGGTAAGCAGGAGCTCCCTCTCATAATAGAAAATGAAGGAATATGGAAGGGAAAAGGCAGCAAAGGAGGAGGCTTATGATCCTATTGCAAGAGTGCTGGAGTATGTGTTGGAAGCCCCAGTGCAATCCACTCATTGCAAGCACATTTTCCAAGCTGGAGCAAATTAAACCCCTGACTGTGGGGTCAAACCCACCCAGCCAGGCTGACTGCAGTGCTGCTTACTTAGCAAATTCCACCCCACACCAAAGCAGGCCAGCCCAAGATCAAAACAACGCCTTTCCGGGGCAGGGAAAGGCTCAGAGTTAGAGCAGTGGGCTCGTAGGTGTGAGCCCCCGTGGTCAGCAGTGCAACACACCAGATGACCTCCCACATTTGGCTCCTTCCTCATGCCCCAGCTCCCTGGAGCCAGATGGGTTGTGCCAGGCGGGTGCCCAGGGCATCGAAGTAGGGCTGCAAATAACGCGCGTGCCACCGCGGCCCTCGCCCGCTCCCCAGAAACCAAGGGGGAGCTTGGACGCTGGCTGAACCCTCATACAAGTTGGAGCAGGGAGATGAGGTGTGGCCACATCTTCAGCTGTTGCTGAGCCCCCCGTGCCTTCCAGTGGTACCAGAGACATTCAAAGCCCCTTCGTCAGCCCAATACTGCCCACTCCCTGTCCTGGCCCAGAGGAGCACACAAACCTTGCTGGGGCTGCAGGAACTGTTCTGGGAAAGTACCCAGGGCATCTTCCAAGTCCTGTCTTGCTGTGTGACAGATCGCTGTTCCTGGGAAGCCAAGCCGTTGGCACGCAGCCTGGCAGTGAGGCAGGCAAGGCATGAAGATGAGTGGAATGGGGCTCAGCTCTTTTTTGGGGTGATCATTCCCACATCAGAGATCAAGCGTGCAGGTGAGAGCTGGCAGGAGACCAGCTCTTACTGGGGGCAGGTTGCTACCAGTAACTTTGCTGAAGGTACTTGGTTTCTGAGCCCCACCAGCACTGGCCCAGGGCTGGTCCTGTGCTTGCTGGTGGAAGTGGCTGTTGTGCCAGAGGGTGCCGACCATGGATTAGAGGATCTCCCTTGTTGTGCTCGGAGTCATGGTCCCATCCCTACACAGTAAACCTGGACCTCTTCCGTTATGGCTCTTTTATCAAATTTGTCTGGCCCACCAGGAGCAGAGCCCAGCACGCTGGCCCAGTTTGTCTGCTGCTAGCACAGCTGTTCCAAAGCGTGACTGAAAGCTAATTCCATCCAAGTGCATTACTCCTCCTGGGCTTTCCTGTCACTGAGCTTGCTTCCCAGAAAGGACAGATTAATTCTCCCTGGAAACAGCTCAGCTTATTATAGGGCAAAGAATCGCAAGCAGCTATGGTGCTGCTAAGAGAATATGTCATACTTGTGTTGATGTAGCAGCTTCAGCATGCCAGTGCTTACAGGGACTCACTTAATTCATTGCAAGCAAAATAACCACTTCAGTGAAGATCTGTCTTGTATCACATGGATGCAGGTATAGCCAAACCAGTGCAATCTGAAGGTACGGTGGCATAGAGAGGCTCCCTGTGTATTGTGCCAACCAAATACAGTAACCTCGAGCTGGAGTAAGCAGTGCCAGTGCATCAGCGTGCAAACTGGGTGCTGCTACACCTGACGGCTTCGCTGGAAATCCCAGCCCTCCTGCGTGAGCTCAGGGCTGCATCCCGAGCTGCTGTGCTCAGTGCCCTCTGAGCGCTGCTCCTCGGGGCAAGTTGGATAGCACTCAGGGGGCCCATCTCTCCACAGGTGGTGGCTGGTTTCTCCTTCAAAACCTTAGGAGTCAAAGCATCAGCTTGTCAGATTGATTTTGCCCCCAAACTGCCAGAGAGGTCAGTAAGAACAGCGCACATGGAAGCAATGTGAAGGGCTGGGCTTGGGCTGTGGTGGGGCTTGAGAGGGAAATATGCTGAGTCCAAAATGTTCTCAATCCTTTTTTGGTTTCCCCTGTGCAGAAACCACAAGCTGGTACAAAGGAACGTTACTTCTTTTAAATAGTGACATCGTCGCTAAAAAAAAAAAAAAGGAGATTTCATTTTAACAAGAGAATTCACAAAAAGAGAGAAAGATGTGAATTGTGAAGGAACTGTTTAATTTAATTAACAATCGTATTTGCTTAAAAATGAGTAACACGTGGGGCATGGGCTGCAGGGCAGCTTGGCAGAAGCAGCAGCCTGCCCTGTGCATCCCACACAACCTCAGAGAGGCTGAGCCCCCTGGAGCTGAGCCTACCCATGGCCTGCCCTGCAGCAGGGTCCTATTTATTAAAATATCCCATCACTCTTCAAAGAAAAGTCCATGTTCTTTCTCCTGTCTCTGCAGTTGTGACAGCAGCGACACATTGCAGCTGAGAGCGTGGCCCTACCGGTGTGAGATGGTTCCTGCCCCAAGGACACTGCAGAATACTTGGGCTGAGCCTCTTGCATGGCCAAAGCATTCAGGGTGCTGAGCACCTCGCAGTGTTAAATGATCTTTTCAAAGCACAGCTTGGAAGCACAGCTTGGAGCTTGGCAATGAGATGAAATGCTGCTGTGCTTCTTGTCTCATCCCAGCCACGCCATTGAGCATGTGGGGGCAGAGCCACAGCGGGGGTTAACTCTGGCAGGAGGCTGGACAAGAGACCTCCAGTGCACTTATTTCATTTTCTATTTCCGTGTACGAACAGAATTAGTGATAAGACTTTAAATGCTGCGTATTAATTTTTTATATTGGGCATGTTAAGTGGTAAGGGAACGAGCTGCACCAGTTATGCAGCTCTGTGGCATGGTGGACTGCGGGCACAGGTATGGCTGGGGTACCAGTACAGCCAGTTCTGGGGCTGCTTTGCTGGTTAAATCCCCTCGGAGCCGTGATGTTCAGAGCCTTTGAATGTAGCTGGACTTGATGTCACGTACCAGGCCCATGAGGGGTGAATGCCACCATTTGCACAACTGTAGGGATTTTTTTTTTGTCTTATTAGGGATGTGACAAGAAAGCCATGGTCTGGGATATGCGGTCTGGTCAGTGCATTCAGTCGTTTGAAACCCACGATTCAGATATCAACAGTGTCAGGTCAGTGTGTTTGTGGGAGAGGACACATTTGCGTTGTTGAGCAATGCACTGGTTCTATTTCTGAAGTCTGACCTCATCCAAGTAATGTAATATGTTCTGGTCTTTTTTTACTCATGCACAGATATTACCCAAGCGGAGATGCTTTTGCCTCTGGTTCAGACGATGCCACGGTATGTTAATTCAGCAATCTAAGGAAGTTTTGTTACTTCCTAAGTCAGGTTTTGCTAAAAGACGAGGTCACATCCACATAGGACTTTAAGTGACTGAGCTGGGCCTGTGACACCAAAGTTGCAGAGATAACAATGCTATAATACAATATATAATGAATACTATATATAATGCTGTAGGATAAACACTTTCTAGGTCACCTCTGCAAACTTTTCTACGTGAGGTAGTGTCCAAATACTCATTTCTTTGTTCTGAAGTTTCACGATCAAAATTAGTTGTCTTACTGGAAGAGATTTGGCTTCATATCCTTGTTGGTCACACCATGAGAGGAACCAGATGAAACGCTGCAGCTTGTGTCAGAAGCATCAGCACAGCACAGGGGCACGAGTGTGCACATCCCAGCAGGCAGAGGGGCCGTGGGCTCAGCAGGGAGCTGGGCAGACCCGGTCAGCTGCCCTCTACAGCCCCTGCATCCTGAGAGCACAGCCCCAGGGTGGCCTTGGCCACGTCCATCTCCTTGTCAGCCTGACTCATGCCAACATTCTTCACAGCAATGAGTCACCGCATCCAGGTCATCCTAGATGATACAACAGCTCTTACTGGAGCTTACTTATCTGTGAGTGAGCTGCTAGGAGGGGCTCGGTATGTATTGACAGATAATTTTGGTCAGCACATTGTATGCAAAATGCCACTTACCTCCTGGTGCCTTTGGGCCCCTGAGCAATGGGGGACCATGCTCTGCCTGTACCACAGCCCTGCAGAGCTGAGCTGGCAGTGAGTGTAACTCAGAGCAGACGCTTGGGAGGCACTTGGCACCTTGTTTCTCCTGTTTATTCAAACATGACACTGAGCTGCATGAGAGTGAAGACTTTTTCTAAAGTACTCTGCCCTCAGAGCATGCTTTGAGTCTGCTCCAATACTAGCTAAACTCAATAGACACATTCCCTTTGTCTTCACTGGATGTGGAGACCTTCCAAGGCTTTTCTGGAGAGAGAAACACTGCTTTTAGGCCTTAAATGCCGCTATTATAAATTAATACCTCCTAGCTCTGTGGTGAGCCCAGTGCCTCTCCACGCATTTGAATGCAGTACTGTGAGCACTTGAGATGCTGAGGGAGTGAGATGGAGAAATTGTCCATCATTAAATTCCAATGAGCGTGCTCTCGTTTTATGCCCAGTACCACAGGCTCTGGGTTCGTGTGCTAATTAATTTATTCGATGGGGTTTCTCTCTCTTAACTACTCCTGACACCCCTGACTCGAGCAGGAGAATGGGCAATTCCATCTTGACAGAGGTTTTGGCTGTTTCCATCAACTTAATGCTTTAACTGAAGGGGTTGGTGTTTTCAGCATTACGGACTGATGCGCTGGCTGGTATCCTTGACCTGATTTACATACTTAGGGATTTTGAGGAACAGATAATCCTGACTGTCTGGGGGCAGACCATAAAGGCACGCTCACGTGGCAGCGCTGTCACCTGCGGTGACCCCAGCTCCCTGTCAGGACAGGCTGATGGAGTTACTCATCGGCGTGGAGCACTGGGAGACCTGGGCTTCACATACCTGGCAGCTCCCCACTGCCCTGCCAATGAAACAGCCTCTCCTTTATGTGCAGGCTTGAATACCAGCCATTTTTCATTAGTAAAGCTTTAATATTAGCAAGCCCATCTGGCCAGTGGAAACTTACAGTTCAGATAGTTTCAAAAGCACATTTTGATTTCAGGGCTAACAAACCGCCTTTCTGAATGGCAATGAAATCTGGTCTGCCTATACATTATTTCCATGTTAAACAGGCCTAAGTATGCTGGCAAATGATAAAAACAGGAAGTGCAGGTTGTAGAGGTGATCGGGGATTTTCCATGAGAAATGAAAAGCAGAGGTCTGTATTAAAATGTATTGTTTCACTTGGATTATTTTCCCGTGGGTTTTTCAGACAGAGGGGCCTCACGGTAGGGCAGAGCTGTTTGCTCTCCTGTGGTACTCAGAGCAAGGCCTAGCAGCTGGGCTTCCCTGTGCCAGGGGACTCTCTTGAGTGCCATGCCATGTGGTCCGTGCTCTCAAAGATGACAAGAGATTGAATCCTCTCTCTCCCAGACTCCAGCTGTGCCTAAACTGTTGTCTCTCCATGCACCCGCTAGCAGCGGGATGCCCAAATCTGTAGGAATCCACAGTGGGGAAGCGAGAGCGTGAGGGCACTTTCAGTGAGTGGCTATGGTCCAAAGCCCACCACTCATCTCTCTATAGCAGGACAGGCAGAAGGCTTAGGGAAGTGGCTTGGAAAAGCAAGTTCTTCATTCAATTTATACAAAGCAACCATGTGTTGCTTAGATCCCTGCTAGACTCCAGAGGAGTCCCACTTAGAGCAGACAGAGCAACAGGAATATGCCAAGCAGCTGCTTCCCGTGATGCCTGTTAGGCCGCAGTCCTTCCCACTTGGGTTTTTTCAATGAAATGTAGTAGCCATTCACTCCAGCCTTTACTGAGGCATATGTGTTGGTTTGTTTTAATCCTAGTGTCGTTTGTATGACCTTCGTGCAGACAGAGAAGTAGCAATTTATTCCAAAGAGAGCATCATTTTTGGAGCATCCAGTGTGGACTTCTCTCTCAGTGGTGAGACATGGGCTTTCGAGGTTCTCCTGGTGTTGGGATTTGGGGTGGACTGTTAAATTTTGTCAGTTTAATTTGATGAAGCATTTGTTATTAAAAGTTATTGAAAGTAATACTAAGTACCAAAAGCATTTAATGCATGGAAGCCTTTTTTTTTTTTTTGCCTCTGTAAAATAATTACTCTTTAATCTAGCCGACTATTGCTTCGTGGTAGCAATGAAAATATTTTCCTGGCCCTTCTGAAGGCAGGAAATATTTTGCCTGTGCTAGAGTTTCACAATAATGATTAAAAACATTTCAAAGGAAACATGAAATGTAACTAGACTATTAAGCGCACTTACATAAATAGTTTATAAAAGGATAATAAATGATTAATAGATGTAAAAGTATGTTAGAGAAGCATGAAGACAGAAACATTGCCATTTCCCACTACAGACACAGAGACGTGAGCTCAAGTCTTTGCTCTCCTGCCCCAGCACAAGCGCAGAGCTCCCCAGTCACCCTGCGTGGGGATGAGGGGGTGGTGAACTGCCCTGTGCCCAGGACAGAGGCAAAAGTCTCTGTTGTGGTCACAAGCACCACAGTTTGTCCCGTTGAGGACAATGAATCACTTCCCAAATTGTCTCCTAATGGTTCAACCGTTGGTATTCAACGTCTTGCGTAGAGGTTGAGCAAAAGACGATTACCCTTCGTTAGCTGTCGAAGCTCTCCAGTCTGTCTTGATTTGGAGTCCCTAATGACTGATCAGATTCTATGTAATTTAACTCAATCTTAGCTGTATTTGAAACCAATCGGTTGTAGTTGGTTCAGCACTCACTGGCATTGGAGCAGGGCTGTCTGGCAGGAGCGCAGCTGCCTGGGGGAAGCGGTGGTCAGGGCTCGCAGTCCTGCTGTGTCACCTACTGAAGACCTCACTTTGTAAAACCTCATTCTCTTCCTAGGTCGCCTACTGTTTGCAGGCTATAATGATTACACCATCAATGTCTGGGATGTGCTGAAAGGGTCCCGTGTATCCATTCTGTTTGGGCATGAAAATCGTGTCAGCACCTTGCGGGTCTCTCCCGATGGGACGGCGTTCTGCTCGGGCTCCTGGGACCACACTCTGCGAGTAAGTGCTGGGAGCACCCACCTCGGGCACTTGTTTCTTTGTCTGTTTAAAAAAAACAGGCAGGGGTTGTTAAAGGAAAATTGCCTCTAGGGACTAACAGGGATATAAAATCACAGTGTAAAGCTGTGAAAAATCAAATGAAGACCATATCCACAAAGAGCTGGCCAAACTGTTAAGGGAATTTTTGAAGTTACGGGTTAAATGGTATCATTGCTGCTGATGCACTCTACCACTAATCTGCCTGCCTCGCTAAACTGTAATTAATAGATAGATGGACAAGTTTGATAGCGTGGTCTGTGTCATAAACAATTGTTCAACTGTCTCTCTCCAGATCTGGGCTTAACCTGACATCCTGTATGCAGAATCAAATGAAGACCGCTACCCTGGACCACAAAACCTGCATAGCAAAGCCACCCCTCAAAATCAAATATTTGCTACACGACAGAAGAGTGACACTGAACCCACAGATTAACACAACTAGGTAGAAAATGTTATCTGCTTGAACACATAGCAAACATCAACTTGTAGTAAACTGAAATGTTTTTAATTCTGTTTTGAAACTACATCCTTTTATTAGAACTAGTTTAGATAATTATAGAGGGACTTTTCTCTGAAGTCACCTGTACCATAGAATTGAGTATTTCGGTGCACATTATGTATTTATTTGCATGAATTGAGTTCCTTTTTAAAGTAAAAGGAAGAAAAAAAAAAACAAAGGAAAGAAAAAAAAACAAAGTAAAGAAGATTCCTGATTTGATCAGGATGTAGCGTAAGACTTTGGAAACATTCCATAGTGAGGCATTGTTGAAAAGTGGAAAGAAAACCAATTCTGATCCTTTAGGATGGCGTTATGGATGACTGAACCTTGGTAGGAAGTAGAGGAGCAAAGGACCTACTGTGAAGGTACTGGCTGTTGTCATAAAAATGTATTTTTTGTACAAAAAAGGAACCCTTTCAATCCCTGTTTTTTCCTACCGTCTTTTTAGATAGAAGTAAGTATTTCATCTCTGTTACCTGAATATAAAGAATCTAAATATATACAAAATGATAGACTGCAAAGACGAGGGGTATAAACATGATTTACATAATCATGAGGTAATATTTAACCAGTAGTTTCTTAGAAATTTTTAATTGTATCACTTGGTGAGTGAATTTTCTTTGACTTCAAGGAATACTACATGCTAAGCACTAAGGGATACTACACGCTAAGCACCAAGCACCGTTATACTGATGGTCAGGTCTTTTCCAAGTCAGTCATGGTCATCCTATGGTCATGATTCTTCTTTGCATTTTGAGCAGCACTTGGGCAGGGCAACGTAGCTTAAATGTGTATTAAGGCAGTATTTGCCCATTTTAAGGTCCTTCTGCAATGCCAGAGCAGTGCAAGTTCATGCAAATGAAGGGTCAAACCTTCCAAGCCAGATCACACGGTCCTTACTCTAACGGCAATCTCCCACTGGTGTGGACATGGTTTTGTCGCGGTTGGAGTCAAGAGTGAGCTGTTGAAAGCCTCCTGTGAGCCACAGCCCTGCCTGCTCGTGCCGTAGAATTAAGACTTAATCAGATAAAGCTGAGATGTAGTGAATTATTGGGAACTACAGCTGCATTTATTCATCGGAAGCTATTTAGACTAGAGAGTGTGTGACCTCTGCACGTTCTGATGGGCACTGGTGGCAGAGGGATGTAGGGAGCAAAGTGCTGGAGTCATTCAGGGGGCTTGCACAGCCTGGCCTTTGAAATGCAAGTGGTGAGATACATCTCCAGAAAGATCAAAGATACAGTTTATATTTAGATTGAAACAGGAGGAAACAAGCTCATTGGAGTGAGTTCGATCACTGGGTCATGGGAGCTGGCTGTTCACGTCAGCTTAATACTATCCTCTGTTTGAAAATGGGATTTTATTCTACAATTCTCTAAAAATTGTACTAAGAAACAGAGTCTCCTTATTCATGAAAACATTAGGTTCCACGAGTCCATAACCAGTTAATGTAGGACACTGACATTGGTATCAGCCTTCAGTGAAATCGTTCATGTTCACTCAGAAAAGCTTCAGCTGTTTTCACTTGGGAAAGTCGACTCTGATGCTTTGCAATATTCGTGGCAAACGATCCCTGTAACAAACCGAATGCACTATGGAAATGTCATTTAGAGCTCACTGTGCAATATTGAGTCAACACACTGTACACATTTGATCAAAAGATTAATAGTAATGTTTAGATAGTATTTATTGGTAAGATGTTTGTTTCAAACATGCTGCATTGTGTTGATACTTATGAATGGCCTAAATACAATAAATTGTATTTTACATATTGAGAACGTGTCTAGAGTCGTTTTTTCCCATCGGTTAGGTATTTGTAATGGTAGCTGTTTTCCCTGGTTTTGGCATTTTGGCCAAATTTTGGCATTTACCTTTTGCACCATACCAGTTTCTTAGATAATTTGTCCTGCGAAAAGCTAGGGCGAAATCCAGATCTACCAGAAAATCATTTCTGGACTATCTTCTAGAAATACCCAGGGTAAACCAGAGCAGCTGAGGGCGAGCAGTACTTGGAAGTACCTGAGACTCCATCTGAGCTCCTTCTGCATCCAGGAGGCCAGAACGCAGGTTGTTTTCCTGCTCAGGAGGATCACAGCTCATGTCGTGTTTCCTTCCCGGATCCTCATTGCCATAGCCAGGAATGCACTGGAAAATGCAGAGTGTGTCTTGTGGAATTCTCCTTGCACTGCAGTGGGACACCAGTGAAAGCTGGGTACCAAAACACCGTGGAGGGCTGCGGCTGTCACTATTTGGGTAAACCATATTTGCAGATCACCTTGAGATGCAGAACTTGAGCTGTGCTGGGGTCAGCTGCCCACTTCAGTGTAGGTTTTGTGGTCAGCGTCAAGGTAGTTGGTGGAAATGCTCGGTTTAGATACTGAAAAAAAACCACCTCCTTCATTTAGGCTCACTGTTTCGTTTCCTTTCCTCTGAGGGGCTGGGGAAAGTGCTGAGCCAGCTTGTTCTGAGCCCAAACCATCACCAGCTCAGTGAATGAGGCTGACACCGCAACTTGCACTTCTGTTCTTGCAGGGAGAAATCCCATGGTTCTTGCACTTCAGGGCCACTGCCCGTGAACTCCTAAATTGGGCCGCATGGACCCAGCAGCGGTGAAAATCACCTTTCTGTTCCCGAGGTAATGGTGAAAGCTGTGAACCAGGACGGGTCTCAACTTCCCATCAGATGAATGAAGGCAGAGGAACAGGGCACTGAAGTATCCATTCTTTTTCTTACTCACTAAAGGTTGCCCAGGGAGGCTTTGGAAAACTCAGTGTTTTGAGACCCCCCCCCCTCTTTGGTTTGTCAAGCTATTTGTGTCTTGGAAACACCTCTATTCCTTTCCAGAGGGAGAGGTTTTAACCTGCTGCTTGTCCTTTCCCCAGCCTTGGAGAACGGCCGTGCAGCTCTGGGTGCAGCTGTGTCACCTCCCAGAGCCCAGCACTGGCCCTCCTTTCCTGACCTGCTCCTCAGCTCAAGCCAGGAGGTGAAGGAAAAGCAGCCCTGAGAGGCTGTGCAAGCAGGCTATAAGCAGGCTGAACACATGGAGAGCAAAGGAGCTATAGGTGGGGCAAAGTCACTGTCAGACAGCCCCATCCTGGTAAAGAAAAATGCTATATAAACAGGAAGGGTGGAAAAGGATATTGCTGGCGAAAGAGCAGCCTCTCCCTCTTGCTCTCCTGCTGTGAGGAATGCAATAGGAAATTCCTGCTCCGGATTAACAATCGTAAGGAAAATTCAAGTTAAAAAAGCATGTGTGTGAAGCACTGGTGAAAAGTCAAGATATAATTCCAGCTACTGCTCTAGCACATAAACACAGACTAGATTTCCCCGCTTCAAAACAAAACAAAAGCCAAATATGGGGATGTAAAACTAAGTTTGCCTTAGGAACAACTCTAAGAGATCAGGCCAGTTCTTGATAGTGATCTGAGAAATTGCAATAGGATTGATTCCAACAATCTGTTTTTAGGTTTGCTAACAGGGATGTAAAACAGAGACAGAACGCTGTAACTCGGGATAGGTGAAGCTGAGCAGTCCCACGCTGGTGGGTGCATTGGACACCTCGAGCCCAATGTGTGATGAGAGGTGAGAACGTGACCCAGTCCAGGCAGCTCCTGGCCCAGTGCTGGTGGTGACAGTGCAGCCATGGACATGGTTTTGTGCTGGCCACCATCTGCCCCTTGCCTGCAAACTGGTGCCGAGCAGGAAGCACGGGTTGGGTGTACCCATGCTGGGCCTGCCATAAATCTCAGGTGGGTTTTATGAGAGTTTGATGACTTGTTAAGCAGTGGATGGTGCTCATAGCTCAAAGGCCACAGCTGGGATGCAGGGAGGCCTCGAGCTGAGCTGTCTCCCTGGTGCTGTGCCCTGTGTAAAGGACACAACCTGGCTGGCGTTGATTTTACACCAGTGATAGTGAAGGGCTCAGCCCTTGCACCACAAAGGCCCTAAGGCTAAATTTTGTCCAAATGTCCATTAAAAAGCGAATGCCACAGCATTTGGTCGGCAAATACACAATGTACTTGCCCTCTAGTCCTAGAAAACCTGAAGGTCCTCTGTTGTAAAGGACACAGGATCATGTAGGGGAAAACCCAACACAGCAGCAAAGCGCCTTACAGTCAGCACCCGGTAACCCAGCGCCTTGCTTGGCTGCTGGGGGCAGCCCGGGGCTGCAGGCGAACCCTTGGG